TCTTTTCTTTTTTTTTTTCTAATCGATATCAATTTAACAAATAATTGTTTGTGTCACGTGATTTATTATCAGTAATGCATAATAATAATAATAATAATTTCTTCGACTAATTACTTAATACAAACTAAATAATAATAATAATTAATTAATATGTAACATTCATATCAAATCTCATTAAGTGAAACGTAATAAATAATTTCTTTTTTTTTTAATTTGTTGTCTGCTTAGGAATGTGACGTTTGTTTGAAACCGTTTGTTCTTTTGACTTTCATTGAACAATCACAGATTTGCTGTTGATCCTGAACTAAAATAAAAGGTCAAAGGTTAAAAATATTTTGGAAAAGATAAAAAAAAATAAAAATTTATTAATAATAATAATAATATACATGTATTTAAATTAAATAACATTCAATAAACCGATAATAATAAAAAAAATAAATGAAAAACACTTTTCGAGAGTTTCGTATGTTTTTTTCGGAAAAGATGACAGGGGAAGGAGGAGGAGGAGGGAATAAGAGGGGAAAAATAAAACGGAAATGAAAGGTTGAGTTGTGTGTGATGATGATGACGTATCTATCTCTCATCCGCCATTTTTCCAAATAAAATGCACGAAGTTCATTTAAATAAAATGAAAAACTTGTTTTTTTTTTTGGAAAAGATGGAACAACCGCGAGTCACTTTCTCTCTCTCTCTCTCTCTCTCTCTCTCTCTCTCTCTCTCTCTCTCTCTCTCTCTCTCTCTCTCTCTCTCTCTCTCTCTCTCTCTCTCTCTCTCTCTCTCTCTCTCTCTCTCTCTCTCTCTCTCTCTCTCTCTCTCTCTCTCTCTCTCTCTCTCTCTCTCTCTCTCTCTCTCTCTCTCTCTCTCTCTCTCTCCCTTTCTTCCTTTCTCTCTCTCTCGCTTTTTTGAAGAACATATTAAACTTTTTAATGTTAATTATTTTTGAAATTAATAAAAAAAAAAAACTCCGAAAAACAAAAAAACGGAACAGTGTCTTTCCACCATCACTCGTATGCGAATTCCCAACGTTCTCTTAATAACAATAATAATAATAATAATAATAATAACCTTTAACCTTTTAATTATAAAAATTATTTTAATTTGACATAAATTTTTATTTTATTTTTCGTTAATTTTTAAAATGGTGGAAATATATATACGAGATCTTTCTTTCTCTTTTATTCGACGATACAATTAATGGGCGTTTTATTTTTTTTTTTTTTTTACATTCGTGTTCATTGTTATTTTTACTTTCGTTCGCAACAACAACAACAACAACCAGGTTTACTTAAAATTCAGGTGAAAACAACCGATCGATCGATTGTTGCTTCGAAGAGAAAAAAAAAAAAAAGAAATTTTTGTCGATTTTGTAATTACTAATATTCTACGGTTCGACACTTTTTCCTTTCTTTTTTTTTCTCCTATAAAAATTATTATTATTATTATTAATAAAATTTTCAAAATGGCGGATTTACCGCAAAATTTCTATTCTAAAAACCTAAAAAAAAAAAAAATAAAATTTATTCATCGTCGGAATTTTTTTTTTTTCATTTAAAAATTTCGGAAGTAAGAAACGTTTCAAACAAGGAAAATTTTAGAATAAAATATTTATTATATTTTATTTATTGTATAAAATTTTGTTTGTTGTTGTTGTTTTGGTACAAACCTGAATCAGGTACTCCGCAAACGGAACTAAAAAAAAAAAATAATAATAATTAAAGAGGTATCGACATTTAAAATCAAATTGACGGATCATTGGGGAATTGTTATTATTGGATGTAAACAAAAAAAAATTAAGGTCTCAATTTCTCTCTCTCTCTCTCTTTATCTTTTACTTTTAACGTTTCTCTATCTCTTTCTCTCTCTGTTTTGTAATTCGTGCAATTATTTTTTTATTTAAAAAGTAGGGAAACAAGTCGAATATTGCTTTAGGATGTAACGATTTAAATAATTTTGATATTTTGTGTGTTGTCTGTGTGAATACCTTTTTTCTCTTTTCCTTATTTTTTCACGTGCGAAAAAAGGAAGGTATAGAGGGAGGTTCGGAGGGGCGGTGGGAGGTGGGTGAGGGGGCACAGACAAGTTTTCGCACGAATACCGGTACGCGTTAACGAAAAAAAAAAAAAATTGTGTCAAACATGTCCGACGATGCTTTAAGCTATAATATCTTTAAATAGGGAAAATATATTTAATGAAATTTTCTTTTTTTTTTTAAACGTGACGACATTAGTGAATCGTCATTATAAAAGGGCCCAGGGCCCTTTTTTTGTCCCCTTACATGTATATACATACATTCGGTCATTTGAGTTTGAAAAAAAAAAAATTTTTTTTGTTAACCTTCCATGCGATTAAAACGTGACATTTTATTATTACCACGTGTTCTTATACCGTGGTTTAAATATTGACGTGTAAGCATTTTGATTAATACGACCGTAGTTCGTGCCACGTAGATTTCTGACTTTTTTATACGATGACAATAATTTAAAAAAAAAAAAATTCTATCGTTTGTGTTATTTTGTTTTGTTTGAATCAATGTTTACCGCCATGCCGATTTTTTTTTTCTTTTCTTTTCTTTTTTTAATCAAAAAAAAAAAAAAAATACTCACGTGGCATTAGACGTTTTCATTATTATTATTATCATTTTTATTTTTAAAAAAACCGCAACGTGCAAAATTAAATAAATAAATAAATACAAAAAAAAAGGAAAACTTTTTCTTTTTTTTTTAAATTAAATTTGAAAATAAATACGTAATTTTATTATTATTATTATTATTATTATTATTATTATTATTATCGAATTTATTAATAAATAAAAAATTTTATGTATTTATGTATTTATTTATTTATTTGTTTCACTTGCGGGTTTTATTTTTTCGGTTCGATTATTTTATCCGGACTACGAAATTTCTGTGACCACAAAAGATTTATAAGTCGAATACGATTCGAGTTATTAATACATGTATTATTATTATTATTATTATTATTATTATTACTTTCCACGAATCGACTGGAATAAATTTTAAATAAAACGGGAATATTCCTTTTTTTGTTTAATTTCCCGAATGAATGAATGAATGAATGAATTGTATCGTGATAAATATATTCATTCGATCGATTGTTATAGACTACATAACACATTTTTTTTTTTTTAATATTACGTAATATTTATCGCCTTATCATCGTTCGGTTATCATTGTCTTTTAAAAAAAAGTGCAAAGTCACAATAATAATAATAATATTAATAATAATAATAATAATAATGATGATGATGATGTTAGCGTCGCGTCGAATTCGTTACGAATTTTTTTTTTTATAACGCGTCCAATTCGTTATAATAAAATTAAATAATAAATAAAATTATTATTATTATTATTATTATTATTATTATTATTATTATTATTATTATTATTATTATTATTATTATTATTATTATTATTAACGGATTAAGATACGTTAAATAGAATTTAAATTGAGAAGAAAAAGAAGAAAAAGTGTCTAAGAATTTTTATTAAAAAAAAATGACGGGCGGAGTTTTTAAACTTGACCTTCGTCTACGGGGTTGCGAAAATTTTTTTTGTAAAAATCAAATAAGGTCATTCGGAATTTGACCCCCATATCGAAGAGGCAACACACACACACACGCACACGCACCTGTTTTACGCAGTAAATAAATGAAAGAAAGAAAGATTTCCTAGTCAGGTTTTGCCGATAATATGAGGGCAAACCTGCATATCCAGTCGTAGTATTCAAGATCAAGGTCGACGTTTTGAAGTCTTCCACTAATACCACGAGTAAAAAAAAAAATCTCATTCTGATTATTTTTTTACGGTCAGCTGATTATTCTGGCATTAAGTGAAACTATATACTTTTTTCTCTCTCTCTCTCCCTCTCTCAATCTCTCTATCTCTCTCTCTCTCTCAATCTCTCTATCTCTCTCTCTCTCACTCTCTTTCTCTCTCTTTTTTTTATTAATTTCAAAAAAAAAAAAATTAAAATTTTCGTTTTGCGTCTGTTTTTTTTTTTTTTATTACTCGTAATAATTCATGAATAATATTAATTAAAAAAAAAAATTAATAGTAATAATGAATAGTATGTTTAAAAAATACGTGTCACCAGAAAACACATATGCGAGTGATGATAATAATAATAATAAAATTTTAATTCCGTCACTGAACAAGTAGTGTTTTATTTTCGGAGTGTCACGCTACAGATTTAATCTTTTTTTTTCTCTCTCTCTCTCTTTCTGTCTTCAAGTCGCATCATAATCTTATAGAAAGTCAAAAAATCACAAGCCATTACAAACATTTGCGCTCGTAAAAAGACCCAAATTTTTTTTTTGTAGCAAATTTTGCGGTCGAACGAAAAAAAAATTTCAAAATGACGAATATTATTTCGTCGGATAAAAAATTCGTTTTAAAAAAATTCCCCCCCCCCCGTCGCCGCCGCAGAAAAATTATTAATTAAATGTTGGAATCGATAAACGACAGCAAAAGAAAACGGGTAAAAGTGTCAATAGAATATTTAAAAATTAAAATTTAAAAAAAAAAAAAAAAAAAAAAAACAAAACAAAACCGCAGTTTTAACGGTTGAAATGAATGAGAAATAAAATTTTTTTTTTTTTTTTTAATAAAAGTAAAAGTTGCGAATTCATAAGTGAAATATAAGAGCTCATGATTTAATTAAAATATGATAAACTGGCGTTGTGGGGGAGAGAAAGAGAAAAAAAAAAAAAACAATTCCATCCTACCACTTTTTTTTTCTCTGACCCAGAAGAACGGATCGCGGATGATATAAGCAAAGATCTGCATTCTTACAACCTTGAGTCTATAAAAGAACATCAAACGGTTCGGGTCCAAAAAAAAAGAAAAGAAAAAAAAAAGAAAAAAAATTTTTTTTGTGTGTTGTGTGTTAAAAAGTGCGCGAACGTCGCGTCGAACGTGTTTCTTTTCAATTAATAATAATAATAATAAATTTTTTAAATAATAAATAATAGTTGGTGTAAAATGTTTTCGTTAAAATTTTCTTATATTTTTATCGCGTTTTTTTTCTTTTCGACGAAAACGTGTTTGTCGAATCCTTTAGAACAAACACAAACGCCGTCACAACAACAACAACAACAACAAAAAGTTTTTGATGATGTTAAGGATGGTTCAACCGATTTCGTATCTCAATCGCCGGAAAAAGTTTCGCAAGTTTTTCCATCGTCAAATCAAAAGGTTATTATTATTATTATTATCATTATTATTATTATCATTATTATTATCACATTTATCTTCTGCTACGTTTTGTGAAAATTTTTTTTTTTTTTTTGTTTATTTACGTGGGAAAATGACGCGTTGGTAATTTTTTTCGACGTTTTCCACTTTGGCAGGAACCGTAATTTTATTTACCGTGAATTTTTGCTTTTCCATTATCAGGAATTTAGTACATTAATGTATTTGCCCTCTTCCCTTTCCCTCACCCCTCCCCAAAAACCCCCAAAAAATTTAAATGATGGAAATTTTTAAAAAAAATAAAAATAAAAAAACCGGGGAAAAAACGAAAAAAAAAATTCCCGTTTTTGTATGTTTTTTTAAATTTTTTTTCTTTTTTTCCCTGTTGAAGGATCCCGTAGGAAATTCACAGGATGGTACGAGGGAACAAAGGAGTTATTCGCCAAAGGAAAACGATATTGAAAAACCGTACAGTCAAGTCGAAGAATCACTTTTGCAAAAATTAAATTTAAAATGTTCTCAAAGGGAACCAACGTCTTGCGCCATGTTGAAACTCATCACTTACATGAACAGATTATTTAAAAAAGCAAACATCGATATAACGGAAAATATTGAAATCACTCAAACATCCGCCGTGGCAGAAGTCAAAGGTAATTACGATAATAATAATAATAAAATTTTTATCCTTCTCACATTAAATAATTTTTTTTTTT